TTTTTCTGTGAGTTTTTTTCTTAAGTGTGTGTGTGTGGGGGTTATGGGGAGGGAAGTGGAAGACAAGCCACAAAATAGGGAGGGTTGTGGGTTTTTTGGTCGTGGGAGGCTTCGTCTTATGTCTTTGTAGGCCAGTCCCTTTAAAATATAGATAGAGGAACACAGGGGTGATGAAAAGGGGTCCTGGGGGGGCACTCTTTTTCCTGGCCTAACTCCATCCTCTGCACTTCTCTTTCCTGCCCCCCCAGCCCAAAAGTGGAAGACAAGCCACAAAATAGGGAGGGTTGTGGGGGTTTTGGTCGTGGGAGGCTTCGTCTTATGTCTTTGTAGGCCAGTCCCTTTAAAATATAGATAGAGGAACACAGGGGTGATGAAAAGGGGTCCTGGGGGGGCACTCTTTTTCCTGGCCTAACTCCATCCTCTGCACTTCTCTTTCCTGCCCCCCCAGCCCAAAAGTTAACCAATCAGTGGAGCACATGGCCCAGTTTGAGTGGGTGTGTTGGGGGGGAACCAAGAGATTTTTTCCCCACTTAAGGAAGTGACAAGGTGTTCCTGAGCATGTGTGGAGGGCCTTTCCTGCAGCTGGGGGTGGGGGAGGACCGGGGCTGTATTCAGCCTCTTGCCCAGAGGGCCTCTTCCACAAACAAGAGTAAGGGGTCTTACTGAATATTTTCTGGGAAATAGATATAAAATTTAAGTAAGGTGAGCAGGAGGAAAGAAGGGCCGTGTGTCTCTTGTAACTGGAATTGCAGAAGTGATGGGGTTCGGGGGGGTGTAGTTAGACTCCTTGTGGGTCAAGTTGATTGCCACTTCAGGTGTTCCCAGTAGGATTTCTGGGGTGTTTAAAGAGTGGGTTTTCCCAGCGCCACCCTCCGCTAAATTTCCATGGCGGAGCAGGGATTGGAACCTGACTCTCCTGTGTGTTAGTCTGACCCTCTTTCTGTATTGGCTCTCAGTGCAGACTTGGGGTTGACGTGCATTTGTATTCCTGAAATCCTGGCCTCGAATCGAAGGATGAAGTCCCTCTGGTACAGACCCACTGAATCAGTGGGGCTTCTCAAAGCCTTTGTTTTTAAAGAAGGCTCTGTGCTGTTGGCCGCTGTGTATTCCCACATTTGTCAACGGGACGTTTTAAAGAACCGATACAGAAAGTGTGGGAAAATTCTGGAGGCCCAGATGTTTTGGACCACAATTCCCATCAGCCAAAGTCCTGGGCCCCCAAATTCCCCCACTTCTGAGAATGTGCAGATACAGCTGGCCACAGAGTGAGGTCAGGAACCGCCCTCCACCTTTCTGGGTTGGACAGCCGCCTGCACCCTTCCAAAGCCAGGGGCCAATCTGCCTCCTCTAAGGCATTGGTGGACTACGTTTCCCATCAACCCCAGCCAGAGAGGTTTGGATTTTGGGAGGACGGGATTGAAGGAGTCAAGTTGCCCGCTTTGCCTCAAGATGGTCCTTCTTCTGACGTCCCGACGAAACAAGGTCAGACCCCACACCTCTCGAGACCTTCTTTTGGTGCCTTGTAGGTCCGGTCTGTCTATCGTCCTTCATGGGGCCCGAAACCCTTTTCCCCCAGGCGGCTGTCTCACCGGGCTCCCGTTGGACTTCCTCAGGGGTGCCCTATCTTTATTTCATGGGCCTTTGAGTTGCTTCCAACTTAGAGCAACCGCAAATGTTTTTGAGGTAGGTACGAGGGCTCGAAGACGGGTTGATCATTCTTGATCCCTGGTGAGTTTTCTTGACAAAGTCAGGATTTGAACCCAGGTCTTCCGAGTCCTAGCCTGTCACCCTATCCCACTACACCACGCTGGGTCTTCCTTAATAGAGGATGTAAAAGCCAAAGACCCAAGTCATTCGTGTGCAGCAGAAAAGGAAAAACCTTGAAGAATGTATCCTGAGTTAGGTGACACCGATACGTTCAAGGTGGAGGATTTCTGAACATAGGGAGCCCCTTATTTTCTAAGCTGTTGGCTCGGTTATCTCTCCGCGAGACCTTGTGCTTACAAGTCCAGTTCTTTCTAAGGGGGCTTCCAGACCATGTGGATGCAGGAAGCATCATCTTACTTTGGGTTTGGGTGAAAAGAGGACAAGGATGTAATTTTACAAGTTCCTGTCTAACTTTTGAGTCCAAGAGCATGGTTACCTTTTTATCATTGATTTATTTGAACCATTTAGAGACCACCGAGCCGACCTCAAGCGCGGTTTCCCAGGCGGTGGGTGTAAAGAAATGAAAACATGTTGTTTTTACAGAACATGTTTTATAATCCCAAATGTTAAGCCATCGTCATAAGAAAGGTTGACGCAGGCTTAACATAGCTCTCCACCTGGATGAAGTTAATGTGGATGAGTTTTGTTTTTTTTTAAATTTTTAAATCTGTTTTGGATGAGCCTGCGGGGAGCCAAAAGAGGTAAATAGACCCTCCAGTTTTGGAGGCAGTCTACCTGTGGCCACTGCCCCGGCAGATGTGAAAGCAGCCAATCCTCTCTGTTTTGCCTTGAAGAACCGGTGGCTGGCCATGGTCAGAAGCAAGGAACTGGGCTCAACCGCTCTCTTATCTCAGGGTGGTTCTCCCCCCCCCCTTTTGACATTTCTATTCAGCTTTATGCATGCAATAGCTTTATGAATGCTAATGTTCACAGAGGCAGGGCCGATAAGATCTGCTGGGAACGGGCCGTATCCAGGCAAACGGAGCCAGAGCCGGGTGAAAAATATGCGTGGTAGAAAAGAGAATTTATATATTTAAAATCCCCTGTGTAGCATGCATATTTTATTTCATTTCTGACCCTGCAAGGAACACTAGGTGGTTCACAACCAAGTAAAACTATGCAAAGTTACTAGACCTTAGCGTTTTGTTTTTGAGTAGGCAAGGTTAACTATTTTTATTTCATTTATTCAGTGGCTTCCTTTATTTTACACCCTGCTTTTCTTCCAATAAAAGAACAGATTGTAAAAAAATTTGGTGTCAAAAGGCCAAGAGCTCCATCTTTTAAAATATTGTATTTTTGTCTACTCTAGGATGCCTGCCAAGAGCCTTTTTAGTGAAAAAGGCACAGAAGCGACTTAACAGAAACCTATGGTTCTCATTCAAGAATGTTCCCCCAAAACCGGCCCCCGGTGAGTTAAACCCTGGCTTAAAAGTTCCGTGATGAGTTTAGTTCCCTTTCCTGTGTGTTTCTCTGTTGAATGGATGTAGAAAAATGTAACTTTTACTCTGGTTTAATGGCATGACATTTCATTGTATACCTATAAACTGATAGGAGTAGTTTACAAACAGAAATACTTGTTTCACATTGAAATAAAATATTAAATACATTTAATATTTAGATATTTATAACTGATCAATATATAATCGAGCTCTCGTGACCTAAGATGAAATAGGAACATTCCGAGAATCTGTTTGGTGTGTTAGAAAGAATGACAGGCTACGATTTAGGAAACCTCGGATTGAATTCCCGCTTGGTTGTAGAAACGGCCGGCCGGCGGTCAGTAGCTCACAGACCCGGTTAGGGTTGCTGTAAGACGGTGGTCTGATAGCTCCTAAATGTTAATGGATATCGTAGATGGTGAAGAAAGCTGATTGAGGGAGATTATTCATTTCAAATATGGAGAAAACATTCCATGACTACTGAGAACGTCCAGAAAGATAAAGAAAGTGTTGCTAGGTCAAATCAAGCAAAAATGGCTCAGCAGTGGGTGTTGGGGATATCATGAGAAGCTGAGGCCACCTGGAAAAGACCATAATGCTAGGCAAAGCGGAAGGCATCAGGAGAAGAGGAAGACCCCAAAGTGAGATGGACCAATTCCATAAAGGAAACCACAACTTTTGAGTTTTCAAGAGCTGAGCAGGGCTGTTGAGGACAAGACATTTTGAGGGTCACGGGGTCACCCCCTGTCTGGTGGGGGGGCTGATGGCTTCTGCTTTTGGGGTCACCTCCAGGCCCACCTCCAGGCACCCCCCGTCGTGACCGCTGCCGCCGCCAGCGTCGTTTCTGCCACCCCGCAGTCCCTGAAGCTCACTTACCCGGAGATTCTGGACCGGATCAAGGAGGAATTCCAGTTCTTGCAAAACCAATACCACAGGTAAAATGTTGATGTTTTTTGGGGAGCAAGGTGGCCTGTCGTAGCTCACGGGTTCGGAGGTTGGGAGTTCAAATCCCCGCTGGGCCTCCTTGACGTGATGATCCGTACAGTCCCTTCTCGCCTTGCAGTTCTAAGATGATGATGATGACGATGTTGATTTTTGCCCCTCACTCAGATATGTACGTGCCTTTGTGCAGGGCTGGATCTGATGAGGGCCCCGCAGTGGGAAGCCAAAAGTGGTTTCACAAGATCTCGTGTTCTGTTCTTATATTTTTGAAGCCTTGGTTTGTAAGACCTTTCAGTGGTGAAACGGGCTTTTAAGAGAGGGCAGGGGAAGGCAGTCTCGGGCGTTTTTAAAGCCTCTCTTTGGCTACCCCATGAACGCATCAAGGTCCAAATCAACCATGCAAGTGGGATCAACAGCTCCAAAACCAGTTCAGGCCGCAGACTTCGGTTTCTCCCTTGCACTTTCTCCACCCCGGGCACAAATTTAAGATCTGAAGTTTGGAGCAAAAGAGGTGCTCCAAGCAAACCGGTCCCGTTCTCGCCTCCCCCTCCCCCCCCCCGGGCAAAGTCGGCAACTCAGAGGTTGGGTGGAATGGAAGTTCCTCATTGTCCTCTTTTTTTCTCTTTGTCTTGTCTTTGCAGCTTGAAGCTTGAGTGTGAGAAGCTGGCAACCGAAAAAACGGAGATCCAGCGCCATTATGTCATGGTGAGTGGTCCGCCTGGCGTTGGAGCGTGGGTGTCGCAGGAGGAGAGAAGCAGAGGAGATTCCCAAATATCGGGAGCCAGTGTCTCTTAACCTGTGGCCCCTGCCTCATTCAGCTCATAGAGCGAACCTCCTTTTCTTCCACTTTTGGCTACGATGGGCTACAGAGCCCATCGCTCTTCTCCAAACTGTTGGTGGGAGCGATGGGGCTGTAGTGCCTACCCCCCCCCCGGACACTAGGTTTTGATTCAGGCCTCTTGGGGTCCTGCTATCGGTAGCTTTCCCTTTTCTTTTGTGGGTGAAATGGCGATGATCAGAAATGAACGACTTCTCCCCTCTGTGGCCACCGGCGGTTTCCCCAAATGTCAAAGGGATTCCAGAGGAATCTTTTGGGGGGAAATTAGAAATATTTCATTCATTAATTGAGTTCATTAAAAACTGCCGCGGCCGATTATGTCATTGATTGTATTTCTTTGTGCTTATTAGTTTCATCTATGTGCCATTCTTCATTTTGAAACGATGCACCCGAAGCCATCCGCCTTATGCGGTGTAATGTGACTCAACAGGATTCCCATCTGTGTCTTTCTAACCCGAACCTCTTCTTCCCCTCCTTGAACTCTGTTTCACTTTTTTTTCCTTGCAGTATTACGAAATGTCGTACGGGTTGAACATAGAAATGCATAAACAGGTATGTGGGTTGGGACACGGCGTGCTTGCGCTTTTGAAGGTGTGTGGTTCGGGAGCTGAGTTCTGGGTGTACACCACTGTGAAATTACGTGGTTCTAAATAGGATTTTACTCCTACATTGGAGGGGCGGCAGATGAAACTTTTCTGATTCACTGTTTAGAATGTTTGCATTGTTTAGAAAACATGGTTTCTTCATTTGCACCTCAGTGAACTCCGTTTTTCTCCCTAAGATTTGCTCACCCAGTATGGCTGGGTGAGAAAATCTGTGCATCTTGTAGGGAATTGTTGATCTGGGTCAGAGTCCCATAGAAATGGAAGGACTGTTGTTGTTTTGTTTTGGTTTATGTGTTGTGGGACTGGAATTCTGCGCACCCCATACGCTGGCCCTTTATTACATTCTGCTGGATCCTTTTACCAACATACACCAGCCGAACTCGGGTAGCAAAAAAAAATCACATCATGGCTGAGTAGTTGATGCTTGTATTCTAGGTCATGCAACAGTAGCATGACCTAGCACTCAGCAGGGAATATGAGCTGGAACTCCCTTTACTTGGACACCAACATTTATGGTGTTTGATTTGTGTTGGCATACGTAAATAATAGGATTCTGACAATTGTTTTTTAATGGTTTTTATTTTGCTTTGTGACTATTTGGTTTTTATGTGATTTTAATGCTTCTGCATCTGAAGCTGTTTTTGCCATCATTTGTATTAGGTTTGGGTGATTGTGAGCCATCTTGAGTGGTATGTGCTTGCGGAAAGATGTAGTAGAAATGTAGTTATTCATTCGTTCATTGTCTATGATGCCCCACTTTTCTAGTCAAGGGACCTGAGGCGGCGTGCAAAATATTTAAAAGGCTAGGGGTAATCATCATAAATATATTATCAAGAAGTGGAGCAGGTGTGTCTCTCACCCCTTGAAATTTGGGGCTGAGAAGACAGAATTAGATCTGGCTTATGTTGAAATCCGAAGCTATCTCATTTCAGACTCAATCCCTCGATCATTGACTTAAAGCTTGGGATAAACTTTGCAGAAGGTTGCCCCCCGCCCCGACTCCTAAGCAGAACCTCCTCATTCAAGGGGAATCTAAATATGCCAGGGAAAGGAGAGAGGCACCTATGTGGCCTTAAGCTAACTGGGCAAAAGGTGGAGAGTGGACATCCCAGAATTTCCCAGGTCACAGGGAATACTGATCTGTTTCCTCAAGTATGACAGCCCTGTGTAGTCCGAGTTACTGGCCGCCTCGCAAGCAGAAAGCCAAGCACTTGAATCTTTCCCTTAAAGCCACATACGTTGTTTTAAAGGTGGAAGGGCAGACGTTTTATAAAAGTGCTTCTTTTACTGCTTTGAAGGAAAGAAAAATCTTCATTCTTAGAAAGAAAGGGCTGAGCCAAAGGCTTTTCATAGAAATAGTAACAGAAATCAGAGGTTTTTACAAATTTTCTGGAGTTGTGGAAGGACATTAATATGTCAGTTGGGGGGGGGAATTTGCTCTGTTCATTATTTTGACCGAATTCTGACCTCATTTAGCACTTCCTCTGCTAATTCTCGAATCCATTTGACATGGTCCTTTTTGGTGTTTCTGAACCGTGTTCTCAGTTTTATTGTTCTCTCGTTGGAACGTGTGCCTCTAAGAGAAAGCATCTTAACGTATATTTGGGTTGTGGTTTTCTTGCCGAGAAACCCATCGAAACACCTTGAGCGAGAATTCTGTGAAACATGCATCGGTTGCAGGGAAATGGGTAACCTACCTGAAAAGATAGGATGATGTGTTTTATTTTTTTTGTTTGGGTTCCTTGAAAAAAAAAAGTTTGCACAAACCGATACTGAAATGGAATGAGGGAAAAAAGTAGATAATCAAACCCCCGAAAAATGGTTGTGGTCAGACCGTGTGGCTTTTGAGGGGGAAAACCCCGGTTTTAAAATAGAACTCAAAGCTCAAACAACAAGATTAATTTTTCTCCCTCCCTGGTGATGAGAAGACGTTGCAAAGGGTTGGATTTGCATCACAACATATTTTCTTTTTTCTGATGGAAATTCTAGGGGATGGAAACTTAAGGCTTGAAAGGGGGTGGCTTACGACAGCCCTGTAGTGTAGTTCACAGGGCTAGTAGAGGCAGGAGGGGGCCGGGCTGAAGGAAAAGCTGACGACAGCCTTACCAGGCAGTCCCCGCCGGTCCGTAGAGGGGGGGCTGTTTGGCAGAAGCGAGAAGGCGAGAAAGGTATTTCTCCTGAGTTTCCTTTCATGCACGTTGATGGTTTTAAGGTGGAAAATAAGAGGTTCGGAGAACAAACGGGAGCGGTTGGCCTGGGTTTGTTTGAAATAGTGGAGGACGGTTGCCGGTCAGAGCCCATAATAAGTGGTAATTCGTCCACTCCTTAAAAAACCTAACCTGGACCCAAGGCTGGTGGTTAACTACCGACCAGTAGTGAACCTCCCTTATTTGGGCAAAGTGTTGTGGCGGGTTGTGGCAGGGCAACTCCAGGCGCTGCTGGATGAAATGGATTTTCTGGATCCATTTCAATCGGGTTTCAGGCC